TTCTGTTAATACATTATTTTTATAGATATAATTTATTTAAGTAAATTCACTATTTTTTAATTAAACAGTATCAATTATATTTACCAGCCTGAATACGTGAGAAATTTCATAGAAAATAAACGCTCTTTTAACAACCTGTAATGAAATATGCTCTTCTAATGAAACTAAATTTAATCATGCTTTCTCAGGCTAAATTATCTGGTGACATGAAGTGAAAAGATTATATTGAACCAAATGTTTGATCTGCTGTGAGATAAGTTGGTTCACTGTGTCATGTAGACAATTTTTCACTCCAGAATCTATCTTACTTATTTATGTCTATCATTCATCAATGCTTTGAATATTGTTGACACGTCTGATGCTCCTGCTATGTATTTAGATATTCTTGTTAAAATCCAAAGAAGAACTGCAATGTTATTGTTCCTGACCTGGCATCTTGGCTTCAGTCACTTTCCCTCCACTTTAATATAGCTTCCTTGTGACTTTTCTATAAATATTTTCATCATAATTGTTCTGATGAACATTCCTCTATGATACTTAACCTTGTCGTAATGGCTACATGTAAGTGCAGTACTAGATTGGCAGCTAGGTCTCATCATTTTACAGTTGTAATGGCTACATGTAACCATATGTTCTATGCTAACAGTTTCTTCTCACTTCACTTCTTGATTGTGGAACTCTCTTCCAGCTTCTTGCTTCGCAGTCAATTTTCATCTTTAAAAATTTAAATGCAATGTCAATTGTTATTTTCTGTATTTTTAATTCTTGTTCTTTTTTTGTTTTCTCTCCTTAATAATATTTGTCATTTTTCTCATATTATCTCACATTCTGTCACCTTTTGCATCTTAGTGGCTTTATTGTCTTTCTTGGTGTGAAATGATTAAAAAAAAACCTGGAGCCTAAATGAATTTATGAAATTTAATAAAAAAATGTTCTTTTTTTAATATTCATGATATAAAATTCTTAACATATCTGCTAGACGTCAATTACAAAATCTGACTTCAAGCACTAACTTATGCAACAAAAATGTTTCATTTTGCCTATAAAGCGCAATGACTTGTCCAGATTTTTCCGAAACATCTACACAGTTCATATCCAAAACATAAACACAGAAATTTCCAAAGAATTAATGGAATTTTATTACTTATTCCAACATATTTTTATTACTTCAAATGGAGCATCTACTCAAATACATGTTTGTACACAAAATATAATGTTTGAAATATGTCAGATTGAAAAATAAAAACCATTAATTCTTTGGAAATATATACAATATATTTATATATCAAAACAAATTTTCAGTGTGACTACATTTAGGTCAGGCACAGTTTCATGCAAGTCTCTTTAAAATAATTTTCTTTGAATTTTTTTGTGTGAAAGTTTAACAAAAAATTACCAGGCGCCAATTTTACCAGATTTCTTTTTTTTTTTACTTTCTTTACGTTTGATGATGTAAAACTGGTATATTTTCAATGATGAATATCAGACTACCAAGGAAAAAACAGTGACTATTGCTCATTGAGAGAATTTACAGAAATTGGCTCTGTATTCTTTGTAAATAAATGAAATGCTTTGGGAAAATGTGCAGAACTGTTTGAAGGTTTATGTTATGAGAATAAATGTTAGCCTTTGCCAACTGCAACCACACCTTCATTAATCTATGAGATTCATATTTATGGCCCTCTTTGTTTGTAAATACTTATCTTTGCTCACCATGTGCAGTATATATATATATATATATATATATATATATATATTTTGTATGTATGTATATATATATATATATATATCTATATATATATATATATATATATATATATATATATATATATATATAGATAACTAGACTTTTTCAAAACTTTCCACTGAGGATTTTTTTTTTTTTTGTTGAATAAATATTTACCCCCCCACTTAGGTTTTTGTTTTTTGTTTTTGTTTTTGTCACATGGTATGATTTTAGCTATCACCTAGAAATATGTGTTTCTCTTTGCCTCGTTAGCCAAACTTTCCCTGACGATCCGTTTAGGTGAAACCTAGGTAGGTTTGTCTGGCTCACTAGGTGTATCTAGGTGTATCTATCTATATATATATATATATATATATATATGGATATAGTAAAGGTAACAAATCTGTTGGTATATAATACAAGTGACTCTTAGTAATATAAAATATTAAAACTAATCCACAAAAAGAGCTCACTGTATTTATTATTACAGAGCAAATAATTATTAAAGAATAAAATCCAAAATCACCTCATATGGGGAATAGCCTATTTCAGCAGATGAAGATATCAGTTGTCTCTTATCAACCCCAGTGTGGAAATTTAACTGTGAAAGGTATTTTTTTAGCTAATAGGCTAAACATAGTCAGAAAACTAATACATTTCAGTGTTTCAGTCAGACAAAAGGCATGAGACAGGGGTCAGAGAAGATGGAAATTATTTGTCTTAATGGGAAGAAATTTTATAAAATTAAACCCGATTATTAAGCTTATGACATTAATTTGGGGTTATAAAAAGAATGAAATATTGATTTAAAATTAAAAGGAATAAAAAGGGGTTTAAAAATAACTTTAAAATATCTAGATAAAAGAATGTAATGGATTAATGGAAAGAGAGTTGTGGGGGAGATCTTAAAGTAGGGGAAACTTTATAAATTTGAAATAATATAGTGTAAAAAGGTTGTAGAGGTGAGGAATATAGAAATTAGAATTAGTTATACTTTCAACATTTGAAGAGTTAGAGGGGAGTGAATATTATGGAAATATAGTAGCTAAAGTTAAACCTATATTATGAAAATTTGTAATTTATATATATATATATATATATATATATGCCTGGCTGCATACACAATTCTGGAAAATGTTTGTTGAAAACACAACTATACTTAAACATGAAAACAATAAACAAAAAATAAAAATTCTTGAAACTATATACATCAAACAGTTGAAACAAAATAAACTATGAAATCTCCACAAATATTCTTAAATGCCTATAACTGATAACAGAAGCCACTGGTTTATATCAACGGCTTCCCATACTTAATACTTTTCGTTTTCAATCTCGCGTGGTCATGTGTGATGTCACGAGCTGCAACGTGATTTTCGCGTTGCTTTGAAATTTTTCATGCAACAAAAAGAGACTATTATTATTGTTTGTCCATGTATTGGTTGATATATTGAAATGTAATTGTCATCTTTGATAATGACTTATGTAAGTCGAAAGCTTAGATTGGATTTAAACATGTATCAATATGGTGATTTCCTTTTGTCTTGCAATGGTAATGTTATTAAGCTTATTAGACAATATGAAAGGAACTTACTTAAAATAATTAGACAAAACTTGTCTATATTATTTAATGAAACATGCATTAATGAAAAAATTGCTGCCTAAATATACACAATATATATATATATATATATATATATATACAGATATATACACACACATATATATATATATATATATATATATATATATATATATATATATATATATATATATATATATATATATATACATATATATATATATATATATATATATATATATATATATATATATATACAGATATATGCATATATATATATATATATATATATATATATATATATATATATATATATATATATATATATGTGTATTTAGGGCAGCATTTTTTCATTCATACAAGTATCATATATATCAATATTTATGGTTTTACTGGTAGGCTAATTTCTTGAAACATTCAGATGGACATGTCATGTCTCTTTGAATTTGGAATGCCACAAATTACACTAACATTGGTTTCTAGAGTTCAATTCATTATTGTGGAAGACAAAATTGTTGCCAATTCACTTATGTCTTCCACAATAATGAACACTACAACATTTGTCGTGTATTAAACTATACCCTGATGATAACATTGTACTATGTCGAAAGTGCTTGTAATAAACAAATATTTTCTCTCATCTTTCAATAACAACACCGAAAAGCTTATCCATGAATATGAAAGGATCCAATTGAAAATAAGTATGTATATATATATATATATATATATAATCAAACACAAATCAGTGTGAGGATTATATGCTGTATATAGAAAAGTGTCAAAACAGCCAAATACATGTCTAAATTGTTTAATCAGACATGCTTAAATGAAAATATGCTGCCAAAATATATAGTATATATATATATATATATATATATATATATATATATATATATATAAATTATGAAGTGTTTTCTTCATGGTGACAAAAAATAAACAATAAGGCTTTTTTTCAAATTTTAGAGATGTTTGAAAAGAGATAAGGAAAACTGACTACTTTAAACAACCTTTGCAAATTCTACAAAGTAAATATATATATATATATATATATATATATATATATATATATATATATACAATATGCCTAGAATTTATTTTTCTCTCTGCTGAAGTGCTGATGGCTTAGAAATAGAAACTCCAACTGATACCAAAATCGGTCGGGGTTTCAATCCTGGCTTGAAGCATTTGGTTGTCTAGTCACACTGATGAACTGTGATACAGCAAAAGAGGCCTGTATGCAAATGACATATATATATATATATATATATATATATATATATATATATATATATATATATATATATATATATATATATATATATATATATATATATATATATATATGTATGACACAGATCCATGTTAAGATTATACACTGTATATAGAAAAGTGTCAAAACAGCCATACTGATATTATATGTTTTGTGTAAAAATTCACAGCTGCCTATTTTTTTTAATTATGAGACTGAATAAAAGTAGATTCGTAAGAAAATGCTAGAAAGTTTTTCAGACACCTGATATATAATCATACAAATCATGCATACAAATTTAATGCATATAAAAACATAACTGCATCCAGATTCTCATTACTGTATGCATGAATATAATTATGTGATGGCACTTTTGCATTGAGGTACACAGATAGCAATGGTGTGCACACAGAAAAACAGTAACATCTCTTTCAATGTGAGTCATGTCCTTTCTCTCCTGCAGAATCTGTGATCAGGAAGTTTTCCATCAGCACCAACATTTCTTATGATTCAGACCTGGTGATAGGCACAGAGTGACTTAAGGTGAAATTAAATGGAATTTAGAGAAGGTTTTTGTTGTAGGTGTGAGCTGGTTGGTAGGGTGAAGAAGATAGGAGAAATCAGTGTAAAGCAGGGTAGTTAAAATCAAAGTGGGGTTGGGCTTACAGAGAAAGAAGGAAAAAAGAAAAAACAGTCAGGGTAGAGGGGAAAGGAGACTCGTAACTAAAAATTGGAAAAAGAAAGAAATATGAAAAGTAAGAGACATATGAAAGCATTAAATTTATAAAAAAAAAACAGATAAAAAAGAAATAATAATAATAATAATAATAATAATAATAATAATAATAATAATAACTGGTGACAGAGATAGGACCTGTGACAATTTTATGGGACTACACAATACACACAGAACAATTAAAGCTAATCACCTAGATATCGTTATTAGAGACTGCAAACAAAAAAAATTTGTCTCCTTATTGATATGGCAGTCCTTGCAAACTGCAATGTATTTTTGAAGATCTTCAAAAAGCTATCAAAATACAAGGACCTTGAAAGCGAAATCTCAAAAATGTGGCACATGAGAACATCAAAAATCCCTGTTATAGTTGGAGCCGTCGGATTGATTGGAAAAGATTCCAATAGACTCATTGTAGACATTCCTGATAGCCCACATCTTAAATAAATGCAAAAAGTTATTCTCACAAGTATGGCTCACACTTTATGATGGGCTTTACCTATGTAAAATATGTTGTTTTTTTTTTTTAATTTGCTCAGTTGAAAATGTCATGATGCCATTAGAAAAATGTTAGGTCTCTGGGTGGGACCCGGAAAGAAATGAGTACACATCAGAAATCAAAGGAAATATTAATAAACAGGAATAGATCTCAGATTCTTTTTTTTCATTTTTTTTTCTGACCTAATATTAACCTAATAAAAGGCTAAAAAGCCACTCAAGATAGAGGGTGCTGTATGTGCATGAGAGAACACAAGAAGTGCAGTTTATAAGGTTAAGGATAGTGAAAAATAACGGATGAACAATATGGACTATTTTAATGTAGCAAAATAGATAAAATTTTGAGGCTATTTTTAACATGAACACTAAAAATATTTTGCAAGGAATCATTTTAAAATAGATAATTTTGTATTTTGGTCCTCAACAAGATTGAGTGATTTACTGTTGTATATCTCATCTGGCAAAATATCACAAGGTATCATTGGATTATGTGGCAAAACATCTCTAGGTATCATTGGATTATTTGGCAAATGTAAATACTTAGTAAAAGAACATTTCAAAGAGTGTCCATAATGATGTCTTAAGAAATGTGATATTACAATGTGAAAAACATCCCCAAAGCAAATCCGTGCTAAACTGGGCTGTGTTAAGTAGATATTACTTCAATAATAATCATTATAATGAGAAGTTGATTGTAGAGATATTTGATAAAGGAAGTGGGTTTTAAAAATGTTTGCTCTTAACAAAAAGCATCATAAAGCAAAGACACAACATAAGGTAATGCAAAACACCAAAGAAAATAATTGACAGTTTTTTTATCTTTTACTGTTTTTCCTCTTTTTTATTTTTGTACTGTTTTTCTTTTTCAGTTTTTCTCTTTTTTACTGTTTTTTATCTTTTTTACTGTTTTTTCTATTTTTTTAATATTTTTTCTTTTTTGCTGTTTTTCTCTTTTTTACTGTTTTTCTCTTTTACTGTTTTTCCTCATTTTTCTTTTTATACTTTTTCTCTTTTTTACTGTTTTTTCTCTTTTTTACTGTTTTTCTCTTTTTTTAATATTTTTTCTTTTTTGCTGTTTTTCTCATTTACTTTTTCCTCTTTTACTGTTTTTCCTCATTTTTCTTTTTGTACTTTTTCTCTTTTTCAGTTTTTCTCTTTTTACTGTTTTTTTCTTTTTTTTAATATTTTTTCTTTTTTTGCTGTTTTTCTCTTTTTTACTTTTTTCTCTTTTTTACTTTTTTCTCTTTTACTGTTTTTCCTTTTTACTTTTTTAATTTTTCCTTTTTCTATTTTGTTCTTTATTAGTGTTATTTCTCTTTTAATTTTTTTTCTTCATTTTTTACTGATTTGCCTCTTCCACTATTTCTTTTTCCTGTTCTCTCATGCTGACACCCAGATTTATCTGCAGCAGGTGATCATGGTTCAGCAAAAATTTTCCGACCCCCATCTATTTTCATCATAGATCCTACTCATTTTGCAATCATTTTGAGTTACGCACTCTGACTCAACACTAGTTTCTCAGAGCCAAATTCAAGATGAATTAACTTGTCTTCTGTACCCTGTGGCCAAAGTCTACACAGCTGCCAGCTTGATTTTCTATCCAAATTCCTTTCTTTTTCTCTCTTTCTTATGCACATCTACCCACACAGCCTTTAATTAGATCTGTGTTCTTTGTTGTCTCATATGCATTTATGAAATAATGTACCTATTGTAGCATTTTATTTCTGTACAAAATGCATTGGTTCCTTGTTTTATTAAGTCAGAAGATGATTTTCAAATCACTGGTTTTACTTATTTTCTATTCTTTTTTTATTCTATTCATTTTGAAAAATAAATTTGTTATCAAGAAAAAAGTAATCAGTTCAAATTGCTTTAGCTGTCAACTTCTAATTCTCTGTTTTTCTCTTTTTCATATCTAATCTATTGCTTAGGCTCTTCATTTGCAAAGTCTTTTGTGAAAATATGACTTAGTAACTGGGTTCTTTGTTTTCACCAAAATATGACTTGGTTGTTTTTTAACTTAAATATGACTTGGTTGTTTTTTTTTTTTGCTAAAATATTATGTGTTTTTTTTAATTAAATATGACTTGGTTCTTTGTTTTTACTAAAATATCACTTGTTTCTTTATTAGTTAAATATGAACTAGGGTTTTTTTTCTAAAATATCACTTGCTTTTTTTATTTAAATATGACTTGGCTCTTTTTTTACTTACATATGACTTGGTTCTTTTTTACTTAGATATCATTTGTTTCTTTTTTACATTATCAGTTTTGTATCCTTTTACTTAAATATCACTTGTTTCTTTTTTACTTGAATGTCACTTGTTTCTTTTTTACTTAAATGTCAATTGTTTCTTTTTTATTTAAATATCATTTGTTTCTTTTTTGCTTAAATATAAAGTGTTTTTTTTTTTTACTAAAGTACGACCTGGTTCTTTTTGTTTCTAAAATATGATTTGGTTCTTTGTTTTTACTTAAATATGGCTTGGTTCATTGTAGTCAATGCTGGACATTCTACTTATAAATGAAGAAGTCATTCGAAGCCACAGAAATGTGGTTCTGCAGAAGCATGTTGAGAATTCCATAGATGAAACATGTGAACAATGTGAAAGTTTTAAGGATAATAGCAAAAAAGTATGTCTCTACTTAGAATCAGAAAACAAGTTTTGAAATTTCTGGGATATATAAGGAGGAAAGAGGGCTTGTAGAATTTGACACTCACAGGTCATATGGAAATCTAGAGAAGCAGAGGGAAAACATCGACTAGTTCACCTAATGAGCTTGTCTATATAGATGAAAGAACAGGGACTGGAACCAAGTGTTACTGTGAGCTACAAAGGCTAGGAATTTGTGGAGAGCAATGATTTTCAGTGCCCTGAATGGTCACAACGCGTAAAATATTTTTTTTAAATTAATTTCTGTATAGATATCCTGTGCATTTGTTGCTGCTTGGGTTCTAATTGCCTGTGTAAACAGAAAATTGGAGCTGATCAACAGCTGTCTTAAGAGAGATCACTGTTAGGTTGTGTTCATTAAATAAGGAATAAGTTAAGCAATATCAAGCCTAGTCAGTATCCAAATGAGTGACTGGATTACAGCTATATCATGATGAAACACTGATTCTTGTACAATGACAGAAGTTAAGCAACATTGAGCCTGGTCAGTATCTAGATGGGTGACCACTTGGGAAGACCAGGAGATGTAAGTTTGAATGTGCAACTGGCTTAATGGATATCTGCTCGGAATTGGAAATCTGAGCGCCAAGTTCCAATTCCATTTCTGTACATTATATTCACTTATGTGCAATGAGAAATGTATGAATCCACCTCTTCTTCCTCCAGCTATGGGTTAATTAGTAGAAATTGTATCAGTAAATGAATATCTGAAAAATATTCTTAAAATCTAAAAATATTTTCTAGCTTTAAATAACCTGCAAAAAGTTGATAAGTCGTAAAAACAAATCAATCAATAATTCAAATTGTTGACTACCCAGAAAAACTAAGTGCTGTAAGCTTAGATGTGTGGGTGGTGCAATAATTACTGTTTGGGATGAGATATCAAAGAGCTGAGTCCAAATTCCACTCAAGTTTTGATACAATCACTTATGCAAATAATCTTGGGCAATCAGGAACCAAAAAGAGAGATGATTTCCCAAGCAATGTTATTAGTCCTGACCTCGTGTTGTAGCATACCTATGGACAATAATCGGTATTTCCCCATTCACATAAATACAGTACTAAATACTGTATGGTATGTTGGTATACTGTAAATAAATATTGTTATGCAGTTGAAGATTTGTCTCCAGCTGTGCTGGTCAAAATCTCTGCCTCTGGGGAGAGAGGATCCCCAGACTAGGCTATGTCGAAGGGCAGAGTATCATCCTGGGAAACAGCTACCTGACTCCACTTTATATGGTACCGCAGGGAATTTTTGGCCGAGCATACGGACTCGGATACTCCACATTAAATTCAGACTTATGCCACATCTGACCACATGGGGTGGTTGGTAGATATCCTGCAGTTGAAAATTCATTGTGGAATTCACTTGACTCACTTCTAGCAGTTGACTACTTCTTCTACATGCCTCTGGTAAATCTTATATATGTTGTTCTTGTCCTAAGAATTATCATGCATTATCAACCTTCGTTGGATTATTCTATTCAATAACCTTCCCTAGGTTACAGCTTTTTGGCGACAAGGATTAGCCAAAATTACACCTGGTATCTCGGCTTCTGTCACATTCCCACCACTGTAATGTAGCTTTCCTTTGCCTTTTCTATAAATATTTTCATGGTAATTGTTCTGATAAACTATGCTCTATGGTAGCTAGATTTTATGAATTTAAGTGTAGTACTAGATTGGCAATTAGGTCTCATCATTTTACAATTGAAATGGATAGATTTAACTGTACGTTTTATGCTAGCAGTTTATTAGATTCGGGGAACAAATAAACATTTGATTGTTTATATTTGAGTCTATAATCATGTGGCCCCTTTAGTGTGGGTCATTCCTTCATTTCAGGGAATGCAATGAGCATATTCTAGGCCCCACTGAGATAGCATTGGTATAAATGAGATCGAAATGGAAGTATTTCATTATTCTCGAACACATATCCCACCTTTGCATCATATCATCAAGTCTTTTCTGAAATAATACACATTACTAGATTGGTAACAAGGTCTCATCATTTTACAGTTGAAATGACTTGATGTAACAGTAAGTTCTATGTTAACAGTTTCTTTTCTCTAATGGTATTACATACACAGTGTTATAGATTTGATATGTCCCAGAAAGGGATACATTTGTTCGAAGTAGCAACGTGGTTTTGGACTATTGTAACTGAGTAGAACAATCTAGCAGGGTAGTGGTAGGCAATAGGGGAAGACAATAGGTGTCCCTTTTGTACCTTCACATCAGTCTGTATTTATGACTGACACCAGCCAATCCTATTACTGTGAGGGGGAACCTAGATGTATGCATATTCATTACATCAAGATTGGAGACAAGGTCTCATTATTTTACAGTTGAAATGGCTAGATGTAATTGTAAGTTCTTTGTTATCATCTTCTACTGTTGCACTTCTCACATGTGGAACTCTTTTCTGGCTTCTTGCTTTTCAGTTAAATTTGATCTTCAAAAGTTTTAAGGCAAAGTCAATCATTATCTTCTGTCTTAATTCTTGTTCTTTTATTGTCTTCTCTCATTGATAGTATTTTTTTTTTTTTCATATTCTCTAACACTGAGTAACCTTTGCATCCCAGTAGCTTTATTGCCTTGCTTGGGATGAGATGATTAAAAAAAAAAGCATTTTACATTAGTTCCTTTCCATGAATCTGGGGGAGGGGCCTACATCCAACAACAAAGTAGCTTCACAGGCTGAGAATAAGAAATTGAAGACTAAAGAAAAGTCAAACATTTATACAGTGATTATATCATGGTGTAGACTGAGCATCATAGCTATTTATATAATCCGTGTGGTGATGACACAAAGAGTTTCCTAGTTTGAAGTCAACAGCTCACCTGCAGGGTTCTTTCGATGGAATCAGTGGCCATACAACTCTGATCGAGGCTCTGGTTTGACCTGGAGAGAGATGGTGTTTGCCAAATCTACTTGTAAAAGACATGCTATTTATGAATGAATACCTTCCTGTTTTTACCCCAGATGTGTGGAGAGAATGTTTCAGGTGCAGCAGACAGACAACCACACCCAGTCATGGGTTGATGATGATGACCATGAAATATAAAAGGAGTTGCTTCAATAAATATAAAAGCAATGTGACTGATGTCAAAATCTGATATTTTCTGAAAAGAAAGTCAGAACTTTCCTCATAGTAATCATTAAAAAACAGAACAAAGAATAAAATCAATATCTGTCTATATTTCTGAGATGACATATTGTAACTATTTACACTAGTTACATTGTTCGGACTGTTGTCCTCAACTTTATTGCCTTATTCAGAGTCTATATTTCTGAGATGAGGTATTGTAACTATTTACACTATTTACATTGTTTGAATGGTTGTCCTCATCTTTATTGTCATATTCACAGTCTATATTTCTCTATTGTCCTCATCTTTGCCATCATATTTATTACAATGTTTCGGCTTTTCAGTATCTGTCTATATTTCTGAGATGAGGTATTATGTACACTATTTACATTATTCGGACTATTGTCCTCATCTTTGTCACCATATTTATTACAACGTTTCGGCCCTTCAGTATCTGTCTATATTTCTGAGATGAGGTATTATATACACTATTTACATTATTCGAACTATTGCCCTCATCTTTGTCGCCATATTTATTACGTTTCGGCCTTTCAGTATCTGTCTATATTTCTGAGATGAGGTATTATGTACATTATTTACATTATTTGGACTATTGTCCTCATCTTTGTCACCATATTTATTACA